TCACCCGAATTTCGTACAGACTCCTTAATGTCATCCATCGCACGGTAAGCAGTAGTCCATATTCTTTTTAAGTGCTTCTCAACCTATATCATATGCAATACTGACATTGTCAGATAAGGCAACAATTATGCTCTCTGCAATAAGGGATACCACAGATAAACAGATCAACAAGTACATCAAATTAAAGGATATGAACGATATTCCAAACTATAAAAACGCAAGACTGGAAAATTCCGGGAAAAGCTTATTTATCAATTGCTCCCTTACAAGCAATGCAGAGTGGGAAGAGTAAGCCATAATTTACATCCAAGAAAGTACCTCATTCTGCTATGAATACACATGACAGGCTCCTCCAAGGCTTACCAAAACTACTTTCCTAGTCGCAAAGAGACTTATTTGAGAATGGATCTCTAAACCCCATCACTGGAACAGGTTTTGGTGTTTGTTCACCTGATATTACATTATCATCCATTCTTCATGTACCTGAGTTTCCTGCTATCTGTTAGCCCCATCACCGAAGAACTAAGTTGTACTAGTGAGTTCTTCCTTAACCACTGTGTTTTTAAGGATCTTCAAAAAAGGAACAGGATTGGCAGTTGTAAATTGCATGACGACTTATAACTATTTAGTTGGGACTGGAGACTCTAGTTAAGCCCTTTTTTGGAGGAAATGAGGTTGTCAATCAAGAAATAACCCAGTGGCATTGGCGGTTGGGGCACCCATCCTTTTTGGTTTTACAGATGTTGTACCCTAATTTGTTTTCCAGACTAAGTTTGACTCTCTGTTTTATAATGCTTGTGAATATATCAAAGCATACTAGAAACTCTTACCCTTTGAGTGATAATAGAAGTACTAATATTACGATTATTCAGCCGGATGTCCGAGGTCCTAAAACTATTTCTTTGCCTGAAAATTGATAGTTTGTTACCTTTATTGATTATTACCCTAGGATAACCAAAACTCCAAAAGTGAGGTTTCTCTTGTTTTTAGTCATTCCATAAGATAATTTGTACTCAATTTGAGCCTCGGATAAAAATTTTGTGAACTGAAAATGGCACATAATACATAGATAAAAGATTTGGTGCTTAAGGGAGTTCAATGGGATAATCCATCAAACTAGTTGTCCCTACACTAGTGCACAAAATGGGGTTGATGGAAGAACAAATAGGCATCTGTTCAAAGTGGCAAGATCTCTTATGTTAACCCTGAATCTATCAAAAAACCACTGGGGATGCCATTCTAGTTGTTGTATATCATATCAAAAGAAATGCCACTCAAAACCCTCAATCATCAGAGTCCTCTTGAGGCTAAAGGGTGAGAATAAACATATTATTCCTCCAAAAAATGTTTAGGTTTGGTTCACACTAGGAGTTCTAGGAAACTTGATCTTAGAGCCCTTAGTGTGTCTTATTGGGTATTCTCCTACACAAAAAGGCTACAAATGATTTCATCCTCACTCCAGGATCTATTGTCAGCATGCATTTTACATTATAAGAATTTGAGCTATTTCAGTCTTACACCATCACCTCTTCAGAGGAGAGCAATAAGAAGAAAAGATGATTCCCCCTAGTTTCACGGTTAAAACCACTACCCGTAGGGAAAAGTGAAGTTGGAGAAAAAACTCAAGGGAAATTGTTGGGTGTTGGATAAATATGCTTCGATAACTTACTCAAGAAGAAATAGAGCAAAAAATCTCATAATGCAATATGTCAAAGTTGAATTCTCTTCTACTGGTGAGTTATCTATATTTCTCTGAAAACGGACACACATCAGGGCATCAGGCTTGATCTTTAGATGACAAAAGATCTACATCTGATTATTGTACACTCGCAGGAGGAACCTAGTTACTTGGAGAAGTAAGAAGTAAAATATAATTGCAAGATCAACTGTAGAAGCAGAATAGAGTTATGGCCGAGGGCATTTGTGAGCTTCTTTGGCTACAAAAGTTACTAGAAGAATTGATATTTTTCAGGAAAAAGAAAAGGAAACTTTCCTTGTAGTGCGACAACAGAGTTGCAATCTATGTCACCATTCTTTAAGAGAAAGTTGCAATCTATGTTACCATTCCTCAAAATAAAAATTGCAATCAATTAGCTCAGAATCTTTTTCTTTTCTTTTTTGAGAATTATCAATTAGCTCAGAATCTTGTTCAACATACTGAACAAAACATATTGAAATTGATTGGGAATTCATGAAATAGAAAATTACTAGTGGCACCTTGAGTTCACTTCATGTACCTTCAGAAGAACAGCTAGCAGTTGTACTTACAAAAGGCCTCAGCAAAAGGACTTCTCATACTCTGGTTTGCAAGGTGAGTGTTTACGACATTTTTGCTCTAACTTGAGGGGAGTGTTGATTGTGTTAATTCATTAGCATGATTTTTTTTTTATGACAAGGGAAACCCGCAGCCGCTACCCTTTGGGTGCGAACAAGGTAAAACCCCTGCTCCTATGCAATAGCTTGCAAACCACATAGGAGAGGTAACCCACACTAGGCAAGCCCAGTGCGACAAGCTCGACAGAAGGCAAACCACTTGCTTTCACTGGCAAGGGGTTTTGAACTTGAGACCTCCAACATGGAAGTCCCAAGCCCAAACCACTGGGCCACCCCGAAAAGTAATTCATTAGTGTGATTTTAGGAGATCATTTTCCCTTTTCCTAGCGTAATTATACGAAAAAAAGTATTTTTTTTATTTCATTTGATTGTCTTTCCTTAATTAGTTAAGATTTACTTGTATAATACCCCTTTCTCATGGGATGTAAAGGCATACTGAAATACAAAAAAAGCATTTTCTTCTTTCTTCTTTATCAAATTTTACAATATCTCACCGCATCACCAAACTTTCTGATCCTATCATATTAGTTATCTCTTTTGGTATAGCTTTTAGAAGCATCAACAAACTATCCAATGTGACCAAAAGAAACTGCCCAACTGTTTTTAGTTTTTGTAATACAGAAACCACTAACTCATTTCAGAAAATGTTTAGTAAGTGAGGGTAGACCAAGTGGACCTCAACAAGCAATTATGATGGACAATCAAAACGAGTAGTCTGCCCTCTCAAATTGCAAGGTTCTGTAATCCTCAGCTTAATTTACTTTTGTGCTCAGACTTGTCAAATTAAGAACATAACAATAACATATTCCCTCTGTCCCATTTCTGTGACCCTTGCTTTTCTAGTCTGTCATAAAGAAGAATAACACCTTTCTTTATTTAGAAATAATTGAACTTTAAAATTCTCATTTAACCCTTAATGATATGACTTTATAGCCACAGAAATGTGTGGCATGTTTTAGACCACAAATTTCAAGTCTTTCTTTCTTGAATTTTGTGGCCAATAAAACACTACTTCATAAAATGAGACGGACGAAATAATAAATAAGAAATCATATTTTGGGATTTGTAAACCTTTTTTTTTTGAGAATTTGTAGATATTTTTACCATTACATCATGTACAATACATAACCTTGATGCTGGTAAAGAGATACAAAGCTAGTCACCAGTACATGAAGAAAATTAAGTGTTAGTGGGAACAGTTTTCTGTATAGAGGATAAGTTACTTCTGTCATCCTCCAAATTCCTTCTCTAGATCAAGTATAATAACCTTTATTTTTGTTAAGTACCTCAATAATAATTATCTCTTTTTCTTCTTTCCTTTTCTTTTGACAAGAGTCATATATGCAATTGTTTCCACCCTATAACCTCAAAACTTTGACCAACTTTCTCGATCATAAGGCTGAATATCATTCTAATCAAGATTTCTAAATGTTTATCACAGACAAGTGCAATTTCCTTGAACATAAGATGACAAATCAATGATTTTACCTGATCAAATTTACGTCCTTGGATTACATCTGAAACCGCTAGACAAGAAGCCTCTCGTGATCGCCAAAGTCGGGATCCGCTTTGAGTTAAAAGATCATCCATAATAAGATCAAAATGCTCATCAATTGTCTTTTTTGAATCAGGAATCAGTGATCTCCAAATATGTGTCATCGCATCCTAAAGGAAAAGATAAAATAGTTCAAAAATGGGCATCGTCACTACAGCCAGTACAATATCAATTTCCTTAATACAAAAAATAATTATAACAAACTGCATGGTAACCACCTTTTCTTTTTAAAGAAATAACTGTTCTTGTATTCAACCATACTGTTACTCAGAATTTTCACAAATAGGGAGAAGGAGCTCGAGAGATTATAGCAGGAAATCTGCTACACTGTTCCAAAGAAAAAAGAACATGTACAAAGATGTTATCTCCACTCTTAAGTGGTAGGAAACAGAAACCAAAACCGAGTTTAAGAATCTGCAAACAGAAACAAGAAAGGAGGAGAGAGCAGAGAGGAGGGAGCGTAGAAAGATAACATTTTGAAAGCTCTAACACTCAAGCTGCAAATTCAAAATTAAAGCTACCAAAAGGAGAGGTGGACTTGGACCTCTACTATTTGAGTAAATTTAGGAAAGAAAAATTACAAAAGGTGTAGGTGAAAAAATGGGCAAAAATATTAGTTGAATAAATACTTGTAACTTGACATTAGAGCATCCTACTGAAGTTGCAGTTGTGGTTCCATTAAAATTCTATTGATGAGCAGGGAGACATGGCTGCTTGCAATGCTTTCGTACATTCCTCATGTGGAAGATGTCCACAGCCAGATATGGCGACCAGTCTAGAATTTACAAGTTTTGATGCCATCACTTGAACAAATTTTATAGATACAAGTGCATCTTCAGCTCCTCCGATTACCAGAACTGATAAACTTTCAACTGTTTTTAGCAGTTGTGCTGCATTTTCAGGTGAGAGGACTGTCTCAGATGAATGTTTTAATACCTCGTGGAGTGCTTCATCTCATCCTTCTTCACATACTGAGGGATTGTATAGGCTCAAAACATCAGTTGTCAACTTGGTGGCAACATATCATGCACGTCTATTAACAACTTGAGTAATTTCTGTTCCCAACAGTGGATGCACCAAGTGCAGTTTCCAGAGAGAAGTACAGAATAATATCCTTGCAAAGGCTGGAACCAGTTCTCCTCACAGGCTAACATCCAATAATACAATCCCCTTAATAAGGACATTAATCGAATTCCTGGATGACTGAACTATTTGTGCAGCCTTCAGTGCAAGCAATCCACCCCCACCATCATGACCAGCAAGTACAACTGAAGTAAAACCCATACTCGAACAAAACGAGAGAAGCAGGTCAACCTGACTTTCAATCTTGTAGGGATTAGGCAATTGATTCTCCTCCCAGTCTGTCTGACATGGCCTAGATGTCAATCCCCATCCTGGCCTGTAGAAGGCTGTGACTGCACAACCTACCTGTCGGGCTAGCTCATCCATCATCATTCTCTAAGAGAAAACCCCGGCTCCAAAACCATGCACTAGAACAGTAACAAACTGATTATTTCCTTCAACATCTCATACTGGGAATGAACATCCCACCTTACCAACATCATCTTCATCACCAGTTTCATCTAGGTTAAAACTAGGGAAGTTGGAGACACATCTAAAAGAGGCATAGAGAGAGTGTGGGTATGAAATTGACTACTGTGGCACCTCCGAATACGATAATCAGTTTTTGACAAAACATGCAATGGGTGAGCAGAAAAAGGTCTGAAAGACAAAGAACGGTAAGGTGAGCCAGGCAAGCAAAGTTTGTAATGAAGAGAGACCCCAAGGCAAGAAATGAATGAACTGTCAACATCAGCAAGCAATATAGCAGGGACTTTCCCATCCTCATGAGCTGATCCAGCAAGTTTTCTCCTCATATCACTCTCAGTTCTTGTTTTACCTGTCGGAATTGGAGATTGTGGTACCTTAATGTATGAAGAGAATCCAACTTTGCACGAAAGGACAGCTTCTGGATCAACTCGGTGAAACAAAAGCTTCCTCCTTGCTCAAAAGATTGTTCTGTAAGCAATTACAGCATGTCCAAGAGCTAAGACTACCGAAGAAAGAAACAACACAGGCACACCCCCATGACTTTTTCAGATGAGGCCTTTGCCTTGAGATAGAAGATGAAGCTTCAACCTCCAGATATGAATTGACAGAAAATACAAGCTTTGATAGAAAGAAGAATAATGGAAATGATGGAACAGAATATAACCGTTCCGAGGTATGGTCCATGCGAAAGAGCAGGGACATCACACAAAGAATAAACACAGATGATAATAAGAGATATCTTCCTCTTCAGGTAGGGCTTCGTGAAATAATAGATCGAAGAAGAAATGAAATTCTAGATAAATCCATGCGACAAGGCGGCCCAACGGCCATATCTCGCCAGCGGCAAACAAAACGCCGGTTAGCGATGATATTGAGTCTCGATATTGAACGTGTTCCGGGTCGGGCAGGGTATCCATTATGAAAATATGTAAATTTAAGACAGAAAAGTAAACAATTTTCTCCGTTTGCAAAAAAAATTCTTCTGTGTCCGTCTGTTGAAAAAATATAGAGAGGAGACTTTTGGTTTATCGCCGGGAGTTTTTTGAACTGTTTTTCTCTCCCCTTTACATCACACCCCCCTACACACCTCCCCCTGCTTTCTTGGGCTTTCTTCCTTTGCATGGTAACCCCTTTTTTCCCTCTTACCACAACTTTTGAGAAAAGCATAAGCTTATAATAACAAACGAAACATTTCTTAGTTTGCAGCTAAAACTGCCAAAACAATCACAGACAGTAGGATATCAGCTTATTTAATACAAAAAATTAACATAACAAATCACCTGAAACAGCCAAAATGATCTTTATGGTTGCTTGAATGGAATACTATTAAGTTAAGCCCCTAACAAACTAGGAGTACACAGAACACCAGCTTGGCACAAGCACTTATATGGAAGTACCTGCACATTCTTATCAGGATCGTACTGATAACGAAGGAGTCTTGGAACAAGAGCATGCAAGTAAGGTTGCAGAGCATCCCCGGCATGCTTGGCTATCTTGGAGAATCCAAAGGCTGCACCTCTTTTAGAATTCAAAGATGCCTGATAATTGGCTAAGTCCATGAACTTATAAATCATGTCCGGCTGCCCCATCTCGTTTGCCAAGTTGCAAAGCTCCTTGTAAGTACTTAGTTTCCCTCCACTTGGACTTTCACCAATTGTACCCTCTTGAAACACTTCAGAATCTTCTACAAGCTAGGAACAAATTTAAAAAAAAAAAAAAAAACTAATTTCAGAGCAAAAAATGGGTATTCATAGTATAACACACGAGGAAAGATTGTCAAGAATTAGAGCAAGATAAAAGTAGTCATCAAACCTTAACAGCTCTTTTCCTCTTCCCAGAGCCAGTAAGAGTGCCAACAAGAGCATTCACTAAGCTTTTCTTCATAGAAGCATCACCAAGCTCATACACAACACTAAGTCCCTGAGATGCCAGCTCCTGTGTAAGCTCATTCTGCTCAGCCAGAAGGTGAGAGAATGCTTCCTACAATAGTACAAGAGTCATTGGCTCAAAAGGCTCTTGTAAACTGTTTTCTTTGGAAACATCAAAATAAAAGGAGGTTACTTTGATGGCTATAGATAATTGAAGAAGCATAGGCTTCACAGTTTAAAAGGCACTCCAGTGGTTAGTTATTAAAATTGTATTTATCAGGGGAAGAGAGATGCTTGAAGCTGTCTCAACATCACTCTTCAAAACAAAATTGTGACTATCATAATTGAGACGGACTATGAAACAATAAACATGATCTCTAACGGGAATGATTATTATCAAAAATGTAATAGATGACTGCAAATTATACCTGACTAGATTGGGAAACACAAGGATTCAGTGTATCGGCTAACCTGTTGGCGGACACACTAGCTAAGCATGGAAGAAAAATCCAAGTTTTTGGTTTACTTTTGTACTATGATACACTGCCATCTTTTGTATTATTTACTTATGAATCAAATAAGAAATCCTATCCCTAGGAAGTCAAAGCTTGTAATAGTTTCTAGATTTTACTAATAATATATCCCAATAATCAAAAGAAATAAAAGACTGTCCTGGCAGCATATACAAAAGGCTAATAGAGCTGAAAAGCAATAGTTTGAGTACTTCTCCCAGATATACAACAACATTAGGATTAACCCCAAACCAGTTCGAAATTTTTCCCAGGTATGTATTATAAGATTTTGCTATGGAACTGTCAGCATCAAGTTAAATTCAAGATACCTGGATGTCAGGAAGCAGTTTCTGGATAGCCTGGTGCTGACCACAATACATTGTCAGCGATAAAAGCCAGACAGTGCCAGCACAGCGCTCTTGTTTCCGGCTACTGTATAATAGATTGTCAAAAATCTTTCTAGTGATTGCATCTCTAACTGTACCATGGCCATCTTCATTGGCTTCAGATTCCACACAGGTAGAACTTGTAGAAGACACATCTCCCATCAAAAAGTTCGAACTCATGGAAAGTGAAGTGTAGTTACTCTTAAGAATCATGTCAGCAGTAACAGGAACACCACCCCATAGAAATGACAATGCCTCCCCAGCAGCAAACAAGATATCTTCTACCTGATCAACAACAAAATAGGAAACCCAGATGGAAATGAAATAATGACAACTCAATGTATGCCACGCAGGAGCACAAGAAAGAAATTATTTAGCAGTGATATTATTATAACAATTAAGAAGGTGTTTTCCTCCAGCTGTGAACCTGAGAAAAAGAGTGTTTGTGCATGTCACCAACATAGAGTAGACCTTTGGGGCCATCAATGGAGGAAATTTCACTTACCTTTGACTGGCTTAGACTGAAAATCAGGTCAAGAGCAATATTTAGATGCGAAGAGGATAATTCCTTGACACACAAGTGTCCCAAGGAAATAACAATTTTCTGCACTGCTTTCACGTCCTCACCAGCAAGTAGCTTGCTTAACTTTTCACGCAAGACAACCAATATGGGAACTGCAGTTTTAAGCTTGGTTAAGTAAAATTATACTACAAGCATGCTTCACATACAGATTCTATAGTGGCCTCAATAAATATACAAACACACCTGAACTAGAGTCTACCAGCAGGAGAGGCAATGGGATACAAAGTCCAACATGGCCCAGCGCTTGCATTGCAAAAGAAGCCAATGTGGCAGTCTCTAAATTGACAACATCGACCAGACATTTAAGTGTACTCTGGAGTAAAGCTTCTGGGATCTGTCACATGTAGAAAGAAAAGCAGCACAAAGATCTATGTAACCAACAGGAAAGCTTATCGAAACAAAATCAATAAATACAAGATCTATAATGAAATAAACAATTAGTGCATAGGTTTATCCTCAAGTTGTGTACATTTAAGATAGTAAACCTTTGAAAAAAATTTATCGCATATTTTTTATTTCTAAGTTACCATGCAATAGATAACTCTCAAGTCTTAACGATGTCAATAAAATCAAAGCATCCATGAGATCCCATATCAGTAACTATTGTCTTTATGCTAGACTATACACAATATTTTTGCTATCTGGCTGTCCTGCAAAGCATGCATTATTAGGTTTCCAAAAGCTGCAGTCTTTCATTTTGCCAGACAAGCCTCGAAACTAGAATTATCACTAAGAACATGACTGCATTCATTTCTACAACATAATCAGGTTGTTGGTCAATTTCAGGTATTCAATTTGATAATTGGTTACTCAAATGAACATGTGCTAAATTTGCTCCTAGTAGATTCTGCGACTGCAACATTCTCTCCTAAACCAACCATCCCTCTGTTAAGTGAATTACCCCACACCTAAATTACATTCCATAAAGAAAAAAGTGGTGCTATTACCTGATTATTGGTCAATTTCAGGTCTTAAATCAGGTGGTTGCTGACCAAGTAACATGTGCTAATATCAGTAAAGATTGTAACAATCTGACCCCTCATTCTGAGTATTTGTGTACCAAATCATGTTTTTTGAGACTTTGAATAGGTTGGATATGTTTTGGAACTTGTTGGTAAAGTTCGGGTTGAGACCCAAGGGGCTCGGGATGCTCTTGGACAAGTTGGGAACTTAAAGGGTAGCATGTACACAGACCTTACCCCTAACTTGGTCCTACTTACCAATTAAACAAAACTAACTTGGTCCTACCCTGAGAACTGACTGCCGCGCTACCCTGAACAAAAAACCATTTTTTTTTAGAAAGTTAACATTTTATAGACAGCAATACACCAATGGTGTATTTCAGTGGTAATTACATCAGGAGTATACAGTAAGCAAAACCAAAAGATCTATCATCTATGCCCCTCCTAAACTATCAAAAAACCAATTTAACGCAGTTCCACTAATTTTTTCCAGTTCCGTTACCCTTTACTCCAAGCCTTTATAGACCAAATGAGCAGAAAAGGATGAGAAGGCCACCACTAAGGATTAACATACAGCTATAGCATCAGCGAGCAAGAGGGTG